GCCTTACTAGTAGTAACAATGTTCGCTATTAGAAACAAGTGCCTTACTAGTAGTAACAGGTGCCTTACTAGTAACAAGAAGCTACTAGGAACATGTGCCTTACAGAAACCTGCAGAGAAGTCGAGCCCTTCTCACGGCATGAGGTTCTCACGGGCAAGGGCGGAAGGACTTGTTTCTAATAGCAAACATTGTTACTACTAGTAAGGCACCTGCTACTAGTAGCGTGGCACTTGTTACTAGAAGCGTTGCACTTGTTACTAGTAGCTTCTTGTTACTAAACATCATGTTGACATAGTATTGTTTCTATAAAAAGCAATCGGGCATCCCTGTTGCTTTTCCACCCGTCGCTCTTGTGTAGGCTCACCTTTATATTTGCATAAGAGAGACTCCCCCAGGTGGCGGGAAGGGGCGATGGCCTTCAACCAGCTGTGACTAGCTAGTAGCGATGGCCTCCAATAGCAATGCCAACCTCCCTAGTAGCGTCCTTGCTCCTAGTAGCGATATGTAGCGATACCAGGAGCCCTTAGTAGCGTCCTTGCTCCTAGTAGCGACGTTCTTGCTCCTAGTAGCGATGCCAGGAGCCCCTAGTAGCGTTCTTGCGCCCATAGTAGCGATGCGCGATGCCAGGAGCCCCTAGTAGGGCCCTTGCTCCTAGCAGTACCAGGAGCCTCTAGTAGCATCCTTTAGTGATGATTCTAACACAGGAAATTCAAAGTGGCCCCCAGGCACAATCACCGACGGCGGGGAAGGCGACGGGTATAGAGGGCCTTTGCTATGAAATTCGATAATAGGGAGACGCACTTCTGCAGGTGAATCTCCTAACGCCTGAGCAAAGCAATGACCGTGCAAGTAGCAAAGCAACGAAAGAGCCATTGGCAACTGAAAGTTCCCGTAGCGTGCCAGGGGGACACGCGCGGACAGCTGACTGTCGCTTGACAGGGTGCTTTTTGGAAACGGGCACGTCAGCTCCCCAGGAGGTTGGACATAACGTGCCATTGTCCAGTGTTGAATGACTGACATCCCATGGCCAAGCAATGGTCCCAAGACTCACACGCGCAATGAGGCAGCCTCAGTTTGCTAGCTGTATGGCTGGAGAAAGCCAGTGAACAAGCACCTGAACTGAATCATCAAAGCCACGACTATATCATCATCTCATAGGAAGACAGCAATCATGGCAAGGCAGGGCTGGCTCAGATATGATAGTGCTGGACACACGCTAGGAGCAAAGGGCATCGCTACTAGGAGCAAGGACGCTACTAGTAGCTCCTACTATTTTCTTATTCAATCGGTGCCCCTTATGAGTGGAGGGGCCACCGTTACCAGGCCCATAAGGGTGTTTGGGCCTCAGTGGCTACTACTATCCTCACCTTGAGCCTGTAGGCAATGGATTTGACTGTTTTGTACTAACACTATCAACACATGGACAAAATTACTTAATCTTTGAGTACTTTCCTCAACTCTTCCAGTTTTTTCCATTGTTTGACAATTGTTTTGTCTATGTGTTGTTCTTTGAGACTTGTAGAGCTAGTTGCTCCACACCTTTCAAGTCTCAGATTGTAGGTGCGGATAGGGCTTGACACAGCTTACTCTATGTAAAGCGCTGCTTCTTCAAGTTGGAGCAATGACATCATCCTGACTGAGGGTGAACGAAGGAGACCAAAGGAAACCTGTTGAAACCACCAAACAAATGTTGAGATATCAGACCTTCATGGGCCCTTCATGATCTTCGGGTTCATTTGGGCGTCTTGGGTTTGGCCTCCACCCTAGCAACGAAAAATGCCATTCATGATTTACTGCCTCGATTTGCAGAATTTTTGGGCTCGAGATCGGTGTAGTCCAAGATGGGCTGCAGTGCCAGTTCAAAGGCCAAGGAGCTGTGATGGTGTTTTGGCACAGCATAGGCTATAGGTGCACAGTTTGTGCAAAAAGGACCAGGATGACAAGCCACGACACAGTTTCTTTGTTTGTTTTTTTTTCTGCATGGTCAATTCCACTTGACAAAGCCCGCGAGGATTCTTTGCAAAGTGCGCGTAAGCAGAATGAGCCCAAGACCGTCGGTGCCAAGGAGAGAGCTCCCAAAAGCATGGTCTGAAGCGAAGTGCACATGCACAACAACTGTTCAATAACAATTTTGAAGAAACATTGGTATTTCAAGGCCTTGTTCACATGGCGTCTCTTTAAGGGTAATCTTCATGAACTTGGAAAGGGAGCAGCATAAACAAGCCTGAGATACAAGAGCGCCCACCATGGCTCGCCCAGGTTTGAGATGCTGTCCGAATAGAATACATTGCAAAAAGGAAGGTAAGGGGGCCACATTGAAGGGACCGTTTAACAAAACTGAGTTCCAGCCAGCAACCTTTTAGGCGTGCTTTCTTCGCTTTCCACCCATTGCCATTGGGCGATGCGGGCAGCCCATCATCCTGTTCTAGAAAAAGATCTTCCAATCAGAACAGAACCTTTCATTAGTGGCCTCCAACCCACTAGCGATGGCCCCCAACCTACTAGCGATGGCCTCCAACCTAATAGCAATACAATCATATTTGGCTTATCAAAGTTGCAAGTTGATTCCTTTGCAGAGACTGCATAGACTGAACTCGGTTTGTTCGAAAGACAACTCTGTTTGGTCGCACTTTTGGGAATCAATCTTGACAGGCACAAATCAGTGCTGGGGAGGAAAGGCGAGAATTCCATGATGTTGGCGTAGCTTGACAAATGCTATTTCTTCAGATTGGAATATTGTTATTAGGTTGGAGGCCATCGCTAGTAGGTTGGAGGCCATTGCTTCTAGGTTGGAGGCCATTAATAAAAGGTTTTGATATGATTGGAAGATCTTTTTTCTGCTGGTTCCAGAGTTCCAGGCTGAAGTTTCTTCACTGAGGCGAAGACTGAGAAAGAGCAATGGACGGAGGTAGTACGTCGCAATGGGGACTTGAAGAGTGTGCCGGAGCTGCTGCGAAATGACAGGGAACTTGTGATAGCTGCGGTGACCAAGAAGGGCTCTGCATTGCAGTTCGTTTCTGCAGATCTGAAGAACGATAAGGAAGTTGTTTTGACTGCAGTGAAACAGAGTGGCCCTGCACTAAAGTATGCCGCTGAAGACCTTAGGAAGGACAAGGAGGTGGTGATGGCGGCGGTGCGGCAAAATGGCTACGCGTTGGAATTTGCTGTTGAGGAGCTAAAGAACTGTAAGGACTTTGTCCTAGCTGTCATGAAGCTGAATGGCAAGGCACTTCAGTATACCAAAGAGAAGTTTAAAGGGGACTGGGAGGTGGCAATGGCGGCTGTGGAGAACAGCGGCACTGCAATAAAATATGCTTCTGAGAAGTTGAAGAAGGAGAAAGAGCTAGCGCTGGCCGCTGTAACGCAAAATGGCAACTCTTTAGAATATGTTTGCACAGAACTCAGACATAGAGATGTGGCAATGATCGCTGTGCAGCAACGGGGCTACGCATTGAAGTTTGTCCCGGACGATCTGAAGAATGATCCAGAACTGGTGTTAGCTGCTCTGAAGTCAGATGGCACCGCCTGGCAGTTTGCTTCCAGGAACATCCGGAAAGATCAAGAATTTCTGGTGCGGGCAGTCGAAGCCACCAAAGCTTCCTGGCTATTGAAGCTTTGCACAAAGGAGCTGCAAAGTAACAGCATGCTGATACGGCAGGTCGCACAAGCTGCTGGGACGGGGCTTGTCTTTAGCTACTACAACAATTACAACTGCTCTGTGAATATGAGAGATGCCTTTGTGGCGACTGGGGCGTCAGTACCTGGAGGCCCAGCCTATGAAAAAGTCATGCAGGTCTTGAGCAAGACTGAAGGTAGTGCCTGGGCAAGGCCTGATTTTTGTGACTTTGTGTTTTAAGGTTTTTCCAGTTGGTTCGGCTGAAGAAACTCAGTGCTTTGTTGTAGATACTGCTTGAAAACCCTTACTTCCTCTTTGGTGATTGGCAAGTCTAAATCCAGCGCAGCCAGAGCTTCCCGAATTCAAAGTTCAATTGAAAGACACATCGCAGAACCCGGATCCAACTGATCCCACAGGTTTCCAAAAAAACTCAGAAACATTAAAGCGTCCTTTGCTCCTAGTAGCGATGCCAGGAGCCCCTAGTAGCGTCCGATTGCTCCTAGTAGTACGGCCAGGAGCCCCTAGTAGCGTCCGATTGCTCCTAGTAGTACGGCCAGGAGCCCCGTTCGTAGCGATGCCCTTGTTACTAGATGTCCTGCGTTTCAGCTTGCGATGAGAGTTTGATGTCTTAAGGCACGGCGACAGTGTGGTTTGATGAGACCCCGGTCTTTGGATTCTCCGCGGACAGCGGCAAGTGGATCCACCCCAGCCACGAGTGTGGGCGCGACTATGTCCCAGTGCCAGCAGTAGAGGGCCGACATCCCATGTGGGACTCCATGGTGGAGTCTCGAACCAAGAGGCTGTCAGCAGAAGTTGGTTCAACACATCCATGCCACTTAGTAGCGAGAATGAGCCCCCGATCGTAGCGATGGTGTGAGCGTTCTTCGTGTTTGAAGCCAACTGTTTGTACACCGAAGAATGTTGTTCTTGCGGGGG